TCCTGGCCTTTGTGCAGGTGTCGGGTCACACCCCGTGGCACAGCATGCCACAGGGCACCCCATGGGTGCTGCAGCTGAGCTGGAGGAGGTTGTCTCCCAGGCTGGGCTGGGTGCTGCCCACCGGCAAAGCGCCCGCTGGGTGCTGGGGACGCGGTGCCAGCCCTGTGCTTTCAGAGAGCCTGGCGCCCGGGGACACTGCCAGCGTGGTCATGGGCATCGACTTCTGCGACTCCACCCAGGCGGCCAACTTCCAGCTCTGGTGAGTGCCTGGTGCTGGGGCAGGATGGGCAGGGTGGGCTCCAGGGGATGGGGGACAGCGGGACAGGGACCAGCATCCCCCCAGGGGACAGCGGGACGAGTACCAGCATCCCTCCAGGGGACAGGGCAGACATGGCATGGGGCACTCCAGGGAATGGGGGACAGCAGGACCAGCACCGAGGTGCTGTGGACCTGTGGACCCCAGACTGGCCAGACCCTCTCACCCTGCTGTCTCTGCAGCACCCACACGCGCCACTTCTACGTCTCCATCCAGCCGCCCGTGGGGGAGCTCATGGCTCCCGTCTTCATGAGCGAGAACGAGTTCAAGAAGGAGCAGGGTGAGTGCAGGGTGGAGGCGGGCTGGCTTTGGGGGGACCTGCTGCCCCGAGCCCGGCGCGCCCAGCGCTGACGTTAACCACCCGTTTTATTCCCTCTGCCGCCCTCGCCATGTCCTTAGAGCACCTCTCGCGGCTGGGCGAGGGTAAGTCGCAGCTCAGCTGGCCCTCGTGGGCAGGGGTGCGCTGCTGACCCCATCCCGCTCCCCTAGACTAGCTCTGCTCCCCTTACCCTGTGCGAGCTGCGCTCCGGCCCCCCTCCTGCACCCCCAGGCCTGGGGGCCGGGGCAGCAATCCCTCGCGAGTAGATGCCATCTGGGTGCCCCTGCTGGCGCCGGGGTCCTGGGGGGCACCGCCGGGTCCCTGCACAGGGTGCAGGGCTCTGGGGCGCGATGGAGCAGATCCCCAGCCCTTGAGACCCCCACCCTGCCTGGCTGCTGCAGTGCCCCAGGCGTGCATGGGGTCCCTGGACGGGTGTCCCCTCAGCACGTGGCCCCTGGGAGCTGCTGTGCAGCCTGGCAGTGCCAGCCCCTCCCGCCTAACCGCGAGCAATGGGGACACCCTGGCTGCATGTCCCCATGCTTCTGGAGCTAGCGCGCTCCACGGCAACCCCGTAGCACAGCAGAGGAAGCCCTGGGAGGGTCTGTGGCCGCGGCAAGGCGAGCGGTCGATGCTGGCCTGGCCGGAGCACCCATAGCACCCGTAGTGGATGCTTGATGCTCGTGGTGCCCGGGCTCCATTGCCCTGTGCTGCCTGCAGGCGCCATTCCCCAGGGACATGGGACACGGCTGCAGGCTGCTGCTACCAGGCAGGGTGGCAGGGCACAGAGATGGGCCCAGAAAGGGTCCTGGAGGAAAGGTTTTCCCAAATCCATCTCTTCCGGGGGCTGGAGATTAGCAAATGATCAGGAGAGAGTGGGGCAGCCAGGTTGGGACCCTACGGAAACCCTGGGCTGTGAGGCCACAGGCTGACCGTGGGGTTGACGCGCCCCAGGATGGGGCTGAGCCCTCTCGCAGCGCACGGCTGGCACCTCGGGGTGGGATGAGATGGGACAGAGAGAGGCTGGAAGGAGGCAGGAATCAGGGCTTGGCTCAGCAACAACAAAACGGGGCCCGGAGGGGACGTGGCCCTTCTCCAGGGGCGCGCGCAGGGCAGAGGGGCTCTTGGAGCCACTGCCGGGCGCAGATGGAGGGCAGGGCTGCGAGGCTGGAGATGGGCAGGTGCCTCTGCTGCCCGCCCCAGGGAAGCTGACGGGCATGAGCGAGATCACGGAGAAGCTGACGCTGCCGGAGAAATGCCGGAGCGACCACGCCATCGTCCAGCAAGTGACCTCGGCTGCCAACGTGGGCCGCGTGCCCTGCGGAGCAGACAACGAGTACAGGTAGCCGGATCCCCCATTGCAGTGACATTGCCTGGCACAGCGCCGCTGGGACCCCGGCTCCTCGCATGGCTCAGGTGGACTGTGCTGAGCCAGCGACCTGCTGTGGGGACCAAATTGGGGAGGGGATGTCAAGGGAGAACCAGCCAGGGGATGTTACCTCTCTGGTTTTACCCAAATCAAAGCAGCTCCTTGCAGGGATGCTCAGGTCCTACTTGAGGACAAGGAGCCCCTGTGCCACCCGCACCCAAACCCCCTGTGATGGTGGCTGTGGGCAGCAGATGCCTCCCCGGTCCTGCTGGAGCATCCCAGGAACAGCCGTGCCGACCCGGTGCGGGATGATGGGGGGGAGG